TGTGATCCTCACACCTGGTTGGTAGTTAAGCCGTACTTGATGTAAATGACTTCATTCTGATTTAGAAGGCCAAATACCAGAGTGACTAAGGACATAGCCTCTGGAACCAGGGTTTCTGAGCTTGAAACTTATATCTGGTTCCTCTTAGCATTACAGACATGGAAATTTAGTTAACTCTTCTGTGCTCATTTTTCATCATTTTAATGTAATGAGTATGGTTCTTGTAGGGTCTACAAGTTTATACATATAACATTCATTCTTTTTTGGGAGACGTTTTTGCTATAGGGCGCATGCACTCGCCAGAAAGACAGAGAGATAGAAAGTGAAAAATCACCCCCTGGGAGGATGGCCATGCTGCAATCCCTTCTCCTCCATTATGCTCTTGGGATCTTGGGTACGCCACCAGGTCTGGGACTTGAACTGTAGTCGACTACATGGGAGTCCAGCGACATAGACATTATGCCAACTGCTGGTACCCATATAACACTCTTAAGACAGATCTGGGACCAGCAGTTAGTGTAATGGCTATGTCGCTGACTCCCACGTAGTCAACCGTGGTTTGAGTCCCGGACCCAGTGGCTTAAAACTCACACAGGGTGTGTGTGAGTGCATGCCCAAGATCCCAAGAGGAGAATGGAGGAGAAGGGATTGCGGCGTGGCCATCCCCCCTGGGGGGTGATTTCTGGCTTTCTGTCTCTCTGTCTCTCTCTGTCTGTCTGGTGAGCGCACGCACCCTATAGCAAAAACCTCTCAATAACAACAAAAAAAGACAGATCTTATCAAATGGCAGGTTATGAACCTGCAGTGGCCTTTCCTACTCTGCTTTGCATCCTCGAAGGCTAACCCTCCTGGTCTTCCTTTCCTGGGCTCCCTTGTCTGGGTGTTGGTTGAATATTCAGAAACAAGGAAAAGAGATAAAAAGATAGGAAAAGCGTGACGTAGTCTCCTTTTCCCATTCTCACTGCCCGATTGTGGTTTTGGTAATGATTCTTTCTCTCCACGTTCTTCCTGTACCGAAGTTCACAGTTACTCTGAGCATATCTCCCATGGCTCTCGCTATGGCTAGGTCCGGGAACACTGATCCCTCCTTGTGCTCCAGTGGTCTTTACGGAAGCCGAGGCTTCCCAGGTGTTTAGGCCCTGGGACTTTGCTATTCCTGGTTGGTCCCTTCAATCCTACTTACATCTTATTATTATTTTTTTTAATAATTATTCTATTTAACTTTATTTATTTACTTATTTTAATTTGACCAGAGAGGGAGGGAGGGAGGGAGGGAGGGAGGGAGAGAGAGAGAAAGAGAGAGAGAGAGAGAGAGAGAGAGAGAGAGAGAGAGAGAGGGAGAGAGAGAGAGAGTGAGAGGAAGAGAGAGAGAGTGCGAGAGAAAGTAAGAAAGTAAGTCACCAGATCCAGGACTTGAACCAGAGTTGGCCATGTGGGAGTCTAGTGCCCTTAAGTGCAACTTGGCTGTTTCTTTGTATATGCATCTCCCTAACAAAATTTTATTTAGACATCAAGGACAGGGATTATGTATTATCTATCTTATATCTACCACCAAGCCACCTGCCGGCCCCACATCTCTATTAATAATCCCTTTATTTAACTAACTTTAACAGGCCATTTCATTGTACCACTTATTTGCCCTGGGAATTGCAAATAATAGAGGGCTGAGTTATTTCCTTTATGATAAACATTCAGTTACTTCCTTCGCGGTGATGAAGTGTCATTAACAGAGATAGGAACCAGGCTATTGAAATGTAGCTAACAAGAAAAATCAATTTATGAACCTGTGGTATAATCTTCTAAAGTGGGTGGGAGTGGAGCTGGGGCCAGGTTTCAGTTACAACAGAAAAAAAGTTGAAAAGACCTTCTCCCAGGGGCTTTACACATGGGCCTTCCTCTTTCTTGTTTTGAGAAGTGGTAGAGGTAAGTACTGAGAATACGAGAAGGTGGTGTTCAAGTAGCTAAGTCAAGGCTGATCTAGTTTCAGGATTTAGAGGAGGAAAGTATCAAAACGTTAGCGTTGCTGGGTAGTTAGAAGGAAGAATGATTCTCAGTGTCTAGTGGATGAGGCTTGCAAGGCCCTGCACCTAAGAGCAAGACCTGGAAAAGAGCTTGTAGAAATTAAATAAGATAGTCATCACTGAGCTCCCTTCCCACAGGAATTACAGAAAAAAACCAGGAAGTATGTAAAATTACTAAGTAAAATGGCTATATACCTATATACTGTGGGAATGTAAAAGGTGGAACATTTTATGGGACTGGGGACCCACCTGAGAAGCCCATCACAGACGACTTGGGGCAAAAACTGCTCTAATCACATTCAGGATCTGTGCAAGGCTGAGCATGCGGGAAACGAGATTCCCAGGCATGAAGGTGAGTCTGGGGCATGCAAGTATTAATACCATGGAGAGCACAACCGTTTCATGGACAAGAGACCAATCATTTCACCAGCCTGGACATGAATTCCAAATAACTGGCCTATAAAATTTTCCCAACGAAACTCACTTTCGCCTTACTCGCAGTGAAGCATTTCTAAGTATCAATTCAAATAAAACCCTCTAGATTCAATTCTAGTCTTAGGGCACGTCCTATCAAATTGTTGGTGCTGCTGTAGTTCTCATAGTAGGTGGAGAGAATATATTGCATTTCTGAGAGAGAAGGGGTAAAGAGATCTGGAGTAAAGTTTCCTGGATTCGAATATCAACTCAACTGTTGTCTGTATAACCTTTGCTTTATTTTTTCCAGCCTCTGGCTACTTGAACTTCCTCTTCTATAGTCTTGGGATCAGAACAGTACAAGTATGGTGGGAATACTCTAAGGACTAAGTAAGGTAATACTTACAAAGGACTTAGTAGGGTACCTGGCATATTGTACGTATTTAATGCAACTTGGCTGTTTCTTTGTATATGCATCTCCCTAACAGAATTTTATTTAGACATCAAGGACAGGGATTATGTATTATCTATCTTATATCTAATACCAAGGCCATCACAGAACACGTATTAAATAAATATTTGCTTAACAATTGAATGACGTTAATTTGTCTTAAAATTGTGTTTTCTTAAAGAAAAACAAAGTACTTACATATACCTGCATCCAAAAACAGAAAGACTACTAACTTGAATTTCCTTTTCTAGAAAAGGTTTACAGATCTCTTTTTAGGACAATAAAATTACTCACAGGAAGTCTATATAAATTGTATTAAACAGTGTACAAAGAGCAGGTATTGGTGTTAAAAGCTTTAATGAATATCCTGTTTACATCAACATATCAAAAAAACTGCTTTTCCAGTTTACTAATTCTGCAATTTATTTAGTCTATAGGACAGCCTGTTTCAAATTTTTAAAAAAAGTTGGTTCTCTGAAGAAAATAAAGTTAGTAACTATAGACTACTTGGGTCTTGTTAATTATTTAATTATATATTTTTTGTTATTATTTTTTAAACTTGACCAGAGAGACATGCAGAGAAAGAGAGGGAAAGTGGGAAAACAAGCCACCAGGTCTGGGACTTGAACAATGGTCGGCCATGTGGGAGTCCAGCACTTTAACCACCATGCCATCTGCTGACCCTGACTATTAGGTTTTGAATCATAATATAAAGTAAGCTTATGAGAAGCATTTTTTGGGAGGCGGTATATAATTATATTATCAACACTTTACGACTTAAAAGCAAATGCACTTCTGTATGTTCCAAAGAGTGTATATACGCATTTGTACTAATGGGCTAGAATTTTTTTAAAAGACAGACACTTAAAGTGCAGTAAACTATTAACAGTCTCTTCATGGAAATTTCTGTGATGACTGCAATAAAAGATATGTACTTTGCTTTCCTTTGAGAAAAGGAAAGACATTTTTGTACAGGTTAAACAGAATAGCAAGGCAGAATGTATGCCTGAGTTTTATGCTATTTAGATGGGATCCATTTGAATACTTCACTGTTTAAGAAAATTTATATTAATATCTAATTTCACATGTTTATTAGGAGAGAAAACGATATATAAAATAATAATGAGTCATCATTTTTTGATTTTCTAATAAGTAAATGGAATTGCAGCAAATGTTTCACATGTATAGACCCATTTAACCACAAAATCATGAGATGGATGAGATCCATAAAGACAGAATTATATTTGTCTATTTTATTTGTCAGTGTCCCGGGTTATCGGCATTCAGTTTGGAACACCTGACAGTAAATACATATCTGCTAAATAATGACTACAAATAAATATCTACTAAAAATCAAATGACTTTTTCTTTTGAAGTAGGTCCTTACTAGAAAAGGGTTGTCTTAGCCTGTTAATAGTTTACTATTACTTAATATTCTACATTTTATTAACTCTATCCATGTTCGGCATAGTTATTTTCATTGATGCATATTATACTTGAAGTGAGAAAATGCTTCTACTAAATAATGACTACAAATAAATATCTACTAAAAATCAAATGACTTTTTCTTTTGAAGTAGGTCCTTACTAGAAAAGGGTTGTCTTAGCCTGTTAATAGTTTACTATTACTTAATATTCTACATTTTATTAACTCTATCCATGTTCGGCATAGTTATTTTCATTGATGCATATTATACTTGAAGTGAGAAAATGCTTGAGGAATTCCTTTATTTTATCAGGTGTAGACAACCACAGAAGGCAGGAAATTGTGCCTAAAATGTCCAAGAAAATTCCTCAAAAAGGCACTGTAATTAAACAGAAAGCCTGCGAAAATCTGATCCTGATCCATATGAATTGAAGGTTAGAAAATAAGACCACTGAAAAAAAAACAAACCTCAGAATATTTGTATCTACTTTAAAATATCTTAGGCTATCTTAAAACAAAAATGTCATAGTCAGGATTTTTTTCAAAGCTCTTTCAAAATTTTGGCAGAAATTAATAAAATATTAAGAAATGAGTTCTTTGAAGATTATGGCAGAAATTAATAAAATATTAAGAAATGAAGCATAAAGTAACCTTTGGAAGCCAAAGCCACAGGCTCAGAGGAGACTTACCAGAACAGTCACCACACGGAGAACCACTCCTCGCATGTTATTCTCCAGCTTCTTGTCAGTCAGTGACCCATTCAGACCTGTGACAGGATTCCAGCACCCAAGCTGAAAGGCAAAAAAATAACTTTGGTCACTTTTCTGCCCAAAGAACAGTCAGTCACCTCTGTACAGACCTCAGAGAGAACTGTGTGATAGCTCTTGAATAATTGGTATAGAAAGGGTCCCACATAGGTTTTCTTTTTAATGGCAAATGAAGCAATCAGAAATGCTATTTCCCCACTTTTAAATATCATCATATGGCAGATGGCAGTGCCCGGCATGCTTTTGGAGGCTCACTGAAGACATCTGACTTAATGAGGAGTTATATATACACCAATACCTCAGGCCCAGTAATGCACTAATTGGAAAAATAATAGCACATATAATTCTAGCATAATGTCTGTTCTAATACATCAATTACTGCACAAGTTAGATTTTCTTATAGTTTCAATGGTTTTAATGTGATCTTCCACTGCCTTTGCTGGGGAAAAAAAAAAAAACTACAAATTTTTTAGAGGTATTTGCATTCGGGTGTGTGCACTCGCTGGAGAGAGAGAGACAGAGAAAGTGAGAGGGAAAGGGAAAAACTACCACTACCACTACCCCCCGGAGGGGGATGGCCATGCTGCAATCCCTTCTCCTCCATTCTCTTCCCATGATCTTGAGCACGCATGTACATGAGTCTGGTGTGATTTTCTTGCCACTGCATTTGGGACTCAAACCATACTAGGCCATGGGGAGTTCAGCAACGTAATTACTACACTATCTGCTGGTCCCATAACTGCAATATTTTTTAATGTGGTTAGAAGGGTAACTGTTTTATTTAAGGAAAAAAAAACCCCATGTATGTGGTTTCGTTGTCCTCAAAGTATTCACATTACATAAAGCAATATAATTTGCTATTTCTATCAGTGCTATCAATTTACTTGGACTATTCTGAAAGCAGTTTTTCCCTGAAAGTCATGTAATGATTCACTGCTTTTTACTCTCCAAAAGTCTGGTTTAGTTTTACACTCATATGGTTCTATACCTCTTGTAATATCCAAATCTAAGGGCTACCAGTTTTAAATTACTGCCTATAAATCCCAAAGGAATAAAAATGGATGACTCTCCATTCAGAAATGAGAAAAGAAAGAGGATGTGACTTGAATTAGCACAAGAGTGCTCAAGGAGCAGAGCTGCAGAGAAAAAGGATGTTGCCCTGCACATCTTGGGAAGAAATGTCATGCCATTAATCCTGATGCCAGTTCCATGAGCCTTCACCTTTGGGAGCTTGCTCTGCATTTGCACACTGAAAACGTAACAGACCTTGGTCATACTCGAAGACTGCTTTGATAACTGGATGATTAGAGAGGCACTTGGTTACTGGAGCTGTTTCCTCCTGATGACTGTGATTTATTTCCTTGTACACAATTTTGTTTGTGGTTTCCAAAGTCATCAACATACTGGACAAGCCTCCCTCACACACACACACACACACACACACACACACAACAACAAACACCCAAAAAACAGAGGGGCTTCCTATTAAAATTCAACTTTTTGTGAGCTCCTAAAAGCTGTTTAATTAAGAAAACCAAGATGTACCTAATATTTCTTAAGAGAAGAAGATGTCACAATACAAACAACAAAGCCGGCTTTTTCCTTATGAAAATAATTTGGAAAAGGTCGCTAATTGTTGGTTTCGACTGTAAAAGCACATTATATTCATACAATGATATGTCATTCTTAGTTACATAAAAAGTCTAATTAGAACTTAGATCTAATTAGCAAATCCAAATGTGTTGAAAGTCTAATTATCGGAGATATTGTAGTCCTCTCACCAAATTAAAAACCGTATGAAGTTGCTTTTGAGTTTTTGTTCCCTTCTGAGGTCAACCAAGTCTACCTCTATTACATTCCTTGATGTGTACTTTTTCTAATTACTTCTTTAAGAGGATTTTATTTTCCCTGACCAAATAATGTTGGTGTAAAAAGTGATCTATAACATTAAGTGAAGAGCTAAATTGCCACTGTGCTATCTCCACATTTTACAAATACATTACAAAGGTACAACTTAATGTTAAACTTAACAAATAACTTTCAAGACATGATCTTGTTCAAGATAAACTTGTCTTGGCTGCCAAAGCAAACATAGGGATTTCTTTTATTGTCTTCTTTGGAGTTTTTTTTTTTTTTCTTTTCCTTAGTTTTGGTGGGCCCCTTTGCCTAAATAAATTATAATGACTAATACAATGTGACCATTTCATTTTAATGTACTGAGTAGTCAAAGTATTTAATATTGGATTAGCAACAAAACTTGTTGAACAATTTGCTTCAACAATGCTCTGGACAAACATTTAAAAATATATAATGCTTGGGGGGCTGGACAGTGGCCCAGAAGTAAATTGGGACATTCTACAAGGCTGACCCACATGGGAAGGCTCTGAGTTTCGTGCCCAGAGCCCTCCCTGAGTATGCTGGGCACATGCATGACCATGCTGTGGGGTTAGTGAAGACAGGAATGGAGCACAGAGTCAGGAGCCTGTTGGAAGTGCTGTCTCTGTCTTTCTCATTGATAGAATAAATAAATATATAAATAATTTTTCATTCACTTCTGAATTTTGTCCTCCCTTAAATATAACTATGGTTGATGGTTTAAAAGTTCTAAAGCAAGGTTAGCAGGTGGCATGGTAGTTAAGGCACTGTAGTCCCACATGGCTGACCGTGGTTCGAGTACTGCACCTGATGGCTTGCTGTCTTGCCTCCCCTTTTTCTCTCTGGTCAAATTAAAAAATAAATAATAACAAATATGATGAAATAAATCATTTTAATAAATTCTAAAGTATTCTAGTGTTTTACGAGTTTGAAATAATGACACAAAATTTTGGCATAGGTAGAACATGTTCATAAATATCATCTTCAGAACTAAATAGTAATTTAAATATTATTTATAGCATATATGATGTTTCTACTCAGTTAAAAAATTAATGTTTGTCCAGATTTTCTCTCATACATATTACAAGATAACAATATTTTCCTTTGCTAGCTAGATGAAGGTTTTCACCTTTATTTATTCTTTCTTTCTTTTCTTTTCTTTTTTTTTTCGGAAATGAGTATCTACTCTGATTCACATTTTTTTTTAAGTCTATCTCTTTTATGAGTTAGAGAGACAGCACCTCCAGCACCTCCAATAGGGCTCACCCCTAATGTCAGCCTCCTAGGTTATGGGCATGTGTCTACTGAGTGTATTCAGTAGGTCTCTGGATGTGAACGCAAAACCTTACCATGTGGGTGCACCTTGCAGAACCTCACATTTACTGCAACACCACTACCTAGGCTCCCGACTCACATGTCTTTTGATACTAGCACTGGTAAAATCGTTCCTCTTAGTAACAGGGATCTGGACTTTAAGATTGCCCAACCCCTTTTATTGAACCCAGTTCATATTCATTTTGTACAAACTCTAACATTTCCCACAAATTAGCTATGGAAATCAAGAGTAGGATGTTCAAAGACTGAATTTTGGAAATACTGAAGATACAGATTTTTTGGAAAAACTACAAGTAAGATATATCTATTCATCATATGTCAAAATGGATATAACGAAACAATCAAGAAATTAAAATATTGGTCATCAGAAACGTCATGATGCATTTTTGCATAGAAAAACATATAAAAATACATCATGACGTTTCTGACAACTAATAATCCTAATGAATACCTTTTTAAAAGTAGTTTTTATACTGTCTCTGTGTCAGCCATGGTACTGAGCTCTTTATACCATCCTCTTATTTAAGCCTCACAATTAACTTTATGAGAAGTTGCTATTACCATTATTATTTTACGGACAAGGAAACTAAGATTTGAGCTAAGATCATCTATGTACCAAGAGATGTAACTAGAATTTAAACTAGTTCTGTCAAAAGTCAAGATTTAATGCTTTCTTTTCTTTTTATCACAGCGTTGGTTTACAGCTTACAAATTCTTTTCAAACCCCGATGTGTTTAATGTAGGTAAGAGAAGATTTTTCTATCTTTAGTCAAGGAAACTGAGGCTCAGTTTTGTTAAGTGACTGACTCCATACCATAGCTAGTGAATTCACATTTCAGAAACAACATTTAAAAGACGAGATCATCATCATCCTCACTTTTTAACAATGACAACTTTTACATAATGGTTAGTATATGACAATCGTATTTGCTTTATTTATAGCGACTCATTTAATTCTCAAACAACCTTTGACAAAGGCAACTATTATGAAAGAATTATTTAATTTTACTTATCATCATCATCATTATTATTTTTCATTTGCTACAGAGTATGTGTACTCACGAGAGATAGATAGATAGAGAGAGAGAGAGAGAGAGAGAGAGAGAGAGAAAGTGAGAAAGCAAGTCTGGAACTTGAACTGTGGTCAAACATGTGTGAGTCCAGTCCCCTAACCACCACACCACCTACTGGCCCCAAGGCAATTATTATTATGCTCATTTTACAGAAGGGGAAACCAAGGACGAAGGTTCTGCTCTTTCTACTGTGGCGCCTATTATCCACTTAAGCAGACAGGAGAGCACTGGGTAAAGGAAAACGGTGGAAAAACAAAGCAGACAAGAGAGTCTCAAAAATATTCCTGGAACTCTATACTTTGAACGATCAACTTACTAAAAAACAACATGGAACACACTCTATTTATCCTAAGGCCTGATACTTCTCCAAATGTCTACCAAAGATGAATGAGGAAATAAATAACAGTGACATATAGAGGAAATGTTGACTATCCCACATCTTTTTGAAGGATTTCTCAAGTTTTCAGATTCTTTAATTTCTGTTCATCTCCATCTCCCTGAGGCTCACTTCAAGCTATTCTGTTTGATTATAATAACTCTTTCCAATAATAAGCAGTAAAAATGAGTTAGGTTCACACAGATTCAAAATGAATTTGTGTCTACCATGAGTGCTATTCCTTGCAGCATAGCAAGACTGACAGGCTTCGTGTTTGATAAAAACTAGAATTTCACTTATTTTCAAGTGTGAGGCTGAGCTAACAACTCTTCTGGTTTCATTGTTTGAAATCTGATTAACCGGATGTCTCTTGCTACGTGGAGAAGGTTGTTTATTTATGGTTGTGTTTCTCTCTCTCTTTTTTTTTTTTTTTTAACAGAGGCCAGAGACTAATAAAGATAATGCACACAAAATGTCAGAATATGTGTTTAGGTGAGTGGTTTCTAAATAAAATAATAATAAAAGTGGCCTCTATAGCATATGAAATTTACAGAAAGTCACACTGCTGCTAGCAAAACAAGATTCACTATCTTCTGTGGTGTGGCAGTCTAGAGAAAACTTAGAAAGGATAAAATACTAAAGACCAATTCCATTTCCTTTCAATTACAGTGTATTGATTTCCTATAGTATTATCTGGCTATTGCCTAAAGTTATTTTAAAACCTTAGAAATACTTGCCGCTTTAATTATTTCCTTCATTGGAGCCTTGGCAATAATAATCTTGTAGCATTCTGTTAAAATCGATGTAATATGCTGTGTTCGACTAACTGGTTGATGTATTTGCGTGAGCACGGTAATATGTCCCTAAACATCGTGTATGCTCATGATCAAGCTTTATATATTTACTTTTCCCCCTTCCATGTTTTTGCTTTTCATTTGTCCATGGGCTGTAAGGGATGAATTCTGACTCTTGAGTTTAACATCACTATTTTTCAGGCAGTCTCATAACGTCCAAAAGAGCTGAACGGCTCAACTTTAATTTTATGCTCAATAGTTTGTAGGCTTTAATAACAGGAGTCAAGAGAGCTCTTAATTGAATACCAAATGGGATCCCCTGAATTTATTAGCTTGTATTCATATGGAATGAACGAAGCCTGGCTATGCCACCAAGACTCCAGCGGTAGGACACAAAGTGTCTACTGCACTGATGGCTTTCTGCTTCCCAGTCTCTTGGTCTCACGTACTTGCTAGCTCAGCCTTCCCAAGAAAAGAGGGAACAACGCAGGCACAGGCAAAGCAGCTTGAAAGCTAACTACTCAGAAATGCGCAGCGTTTATTTGGTAGATACTGCTTCTGTAATGGGATAGAAAGTGGAATAAAATACAAATGGCAGGCGGACTCAGATACACGTTTTATGGAATTAAATTGGAATGTTTTGCTCTTCGACATGTGCCGGGATGCAATGTGCCAGTAATCCTTCCAATAATAAGTTTCTTTATGGTATTTTCCACCTGTAAAATAGGTTCAATTTGTATGACTTGCTCCCTAGAGGATGATTATATGCTCCTAAGGTTCTGTTCCTACAGTTTGGTCATTACCATGAAGGAGTAGTTGTCCTTTAGGTTGTGTGAAATAGCATGAGTACTTGAGTTTCCTTCAGGAGAAAATGTCTTTGAAAAGTCAGGAAAAAAAATCGTATGATATGACTATTTATATCTTTCTGCTTCACCACTGGAAAGAAAAGCTGCTATACTTTATGAGGTTAAACTTGTGAGGTGCTTTCTCCCATGAAGAATATAAGCATGAGAAACAATATATATACATAAGCAAGCACACACACATTAAAATAAACATACACACACACACACACACACACACACACACACACGCATACGAATGAAAATAGCTCAAAGATATTTTTACAGTCTCAGGGCCAGCCCTATAGTTGAGTGCTAAATATTGCAAGCTGGGTCCCAAGTACCTGATCCTGGTTCAAGTCCTTGCTCCGGAGGCTTAAAAAACATGAGGGCACATGTGCATGTGTGTCTACCATCCTGATGGGATGGAGAAATAGACTACGCCCTATGGGAGATGCTTCCTCTCTCTCTCTCTGTCTGGTAGGCAACTGTGACCTCTGGAATGTAAAGTAATAATAATAATAAACACTCTCTGTTATCAACAGGCATTTATTTAACCGATTTAATGATTCTCTGCCGTTATTGTAAGTTTCCCTTTCTTTTATAGTTCTTGGTGTAAAATTACCATTGCACTATTTTTAGAGGCAATATATCATAGTAGTTAAGATGAGAAGTTCTACAACTGGACTGCTCAGATTCAAGCACCTGTTCCAACACTTCCTGGGTGGGTACTGTTGGGCCTTAGTTTTCTCAACTCTCAAATGGGGATAAGGACAGTGACTTCCTCATAGGGCCCTTGGGACTATTAACTGATTTGATAATGTTGAGTGTTTAAACCAGTGTTCTTGGCTCAGAAACACTAAGGAAGTGCTTGTTATTATTATTCCCATATAATTAGGATTATTTTGTTCTTTGCTCAGTCTCATCCGCTGGGGTGACTTCCAGGTAGAGTGATGAAGCATGCTTCTGCAGCTGTGGTCTCAACTTTGGCTGCCTATGAGAATTACTTGGAGAACTTTAAAAGATTCTGATGGGGAACCAGCAGTTAGCGTAATGGCTATGTCGCTGGACTCCCATGTAGTCGACCGCGGTTCACGTCTCGGACCCGGTGGCTTAAAACTCACACCGGGCGCATGTGCGTACGTGCCCGAGATCCTGAGAGGAGAATGGAGGAGAAGGGATTGCTGTGTGACCATCCCCCCTGGGGGGTGATTTCTCGCTTTCTGTCTCTATGTCTCTCTCTGTCTGTCTGGCGAGCGCACGCGCCCTATAGTGAAAAACCTCTCAAAAAAAAAAAAAAAAAAGATTCTGATGACCCAGTCAAAGCCCAGAACCATTACATCAGAATCTCCAAAGGTGGGACCCAGGCTTTCATTTTTTTTAGCAGTCAAAGTTGAAAACCACTTCTCTAAAATTTGCTTTAACACAGAGGAAATCCAAACTCGTAGAAAGGGTACTTAATCTTATTGAGTAACGGTGTCCATTTTACTGGCTTCCTTTATAAAAGCTACCTAGGGACACTTTCTGAAATAAACAAGCTGTTTGATTTCTGTTGTTTTAAATGGAACCCAAGTCTATAAACTCTGTGAAGTACGATGCTGACCCTGTCTGTGACTGCACCCTCAGCCTTACCCCAGTAATGGTGTAATGGTGCTGCTTCTGTCTAATTGACTCTCGAGTTAAAGCTAAATAAAAAAAATAAGAACAAACAAAACCCGACATATCTCCACTCTGTTTTACGCTAACAATTTTCATGATTCTCCAGGATGATTCTCTTCACTCTTTTTGTTTCAAAGAATTATTCCATTTATTTAATTAATTAATTTGTTTTACTTTGACTAGAGAGAGATAGAAGGAGAGAGAGAGAGAGAGAGAGAGAACGAGAACAAGCTGCCAGCTCTGGGACTTGAACTGCCATCGGCCATGTGGGAGTCCAGAGACTTAATCACCATGCCAAACTGTCAGCCCCATTCCCCTCATTTTCTAGCAGCTTTACTTTTCTTTATGATCAGAATATTATCATTTTATAATGATAATTTGGCATATAATGACTATAATTTCATAAAGTTGCTGGATTTGGGCTCACCATGGCTCTCTCTGCTATGGGAGGCTGAGATTTAATTTCCCTTCCACCCTAAAGGCTAGGTATGCCGGTGCACAAGTGTAATCCCGGCAGCGCAGGAGGCTGAGGCAGAGGATCATGAGCTCAAGGCTGGCCTGGGAAACATGGTGGGTCCCTCTGTAAAAACGAGAGCGACGTGGAGGTGTATGCTTATATCCCATCTGGCAGACTGAGGCAGGAGGATCATGAAAGTGAAATCTTAAAAAAAAAGTTGGGGACCAGCAGATGGCATAATGGTTATGGCACTGGACTCCCACGTAGTCAACTGCAGTTTGAGTCCCAGACCCAGCAACTTAAACTCAAGCTGGTGTGTGTGCACGTGTGGCTAAGATCCCAAGAAAATAATAGAGTTGAAGGGATTGTGGCATGGTCAACTCCCGGGAGGTGATTTCTTGCTTTCTGTCTTTCTGTCTCTCTCTGTTTCCCTGGTGAGCATACATGCCTTACAGCAAAAATCTCTCTCTCAAAAAAAAAATAGTTGTTGAATTTTCTTATCTTTTCCATTCTACTTTGACATTTTCAGAAAATGTTCATTTCAATGTCATATTAAAATTCTCACTCTCTATCCTATCTCCTCCGTTACTTAATTATCCACTTATAGTTAGGGGCACCATATTAATCACCTTTGTGTCTATTACAGGGCCTATTATGGAGTTCTGCATAAGTAAAATAATTTTTTATGAAACTGACAAGGTTAATGCTAAGTATCTCTATGGCACTTTAGATCTTGACTCCCAAACAATCCAAATCTCCAGCCCGAGCATTTCCTTATATTTTACTTTGTCTTCAATGACTCCACTTAGAAACCTCAAAGGCACCTCAAACATCTACAAGATTAGCTCATAATCTATCCCATCACACCCCTAGTTCCACTAGCCAGAAACCAACGAGTCAGTTTTACTACTTCTCATGTACAGTCCCTTACCAAAGCCTACTGATTTCACATCCTTAAAAATAAAAAATCTGACCTCTTCTAATAGTCCAACACCTAGCAAAAAGCCAGAATCCATGTCTTCTGAGGTGTGCCTAGCCCTACTCCTTAAACATGAAAGCCTCTGCCCTAAACCTCTCCTTCTGGCCCAATACCCGGCAAAAAGCCAGAAAGTAGGAAGTAACGTATAATCATCAGATGACCAGAAACCACCACACAGGCACAAGAAATATGGGAAATCAAGAAAATATCCCTTCTCCAAGGGGTAAGAACAGGCCTTCATCATCCACAGACAGTACAGTGGAACTCACAGAAATGTCAGACAAAGAATTTAGGATATTCATAATGACAAAGCTAACAGAGATGCAAGAGAAGAGAGACAAGGAACCCCAGGAAATGCAAGAGAAAAGAGACAATGAGTTCCAGGAGGTGAGGAAGTATTGCCACAATTTGAAAGAAGAAATACACATCATAAAAAAGAATCAAATGGAACTGTTAGAGATGAAGGCTATAATACAGGAAATAACCCCCCCCTTGAAAATATTAAAAGCATATTAGATCAGGCAGAAGATCAAATCTCAGATGTAGAAGACAGTACCTCTGACCTAGAAAAATTCACCAAAAAGACTGAGAAAATAACCCCCCAAAAGGAGAATAATATATGAGAAATACTAGATACCATTAGATGCCCAAACATCCAGATAATCGGTACTCCAGAAGGTAAAGAAACTAACCTATGGCACTGATAATCTATTCCATGAAATCCTGGAAGAAAACTTTCCAAACCTAGAGAGGGATTCAAAAATCCAGACCCAAGAAATACAAAGGACCCCAAGATGATAAATAGAATCAACCCAAGAAAATCTTAGAATCATACCCAAGAAGAATCAACCCAAGAAGATAGAATCAACCCAAGAAGATCTTCTCCAAGGCACATCATAGCTAGATTGACCAAAACCACGGAGACAAGATACTAAAATTGGCAAGAGAAAAACATCAAGTTACTTTCAAAGGATACCCCTTTATACTAACATCAGACCTCTTGTCAGAAACAATACAAGCAAGGAAAGAATGGGAAAATATATTCAAAGTGTTAAGTGAAAAACAATTTCTCCCCAAAATACTATATCCAGCAAGATTATCTTTCATATAGGAAGAAAAGATAAAAAAAACATTCTCAGGTAAATAAAAACAGAAAGAATTTACCAACACCAGGCCAACTCTTCAAGAAGTTCTAAAGGGAGTACTATACCAGGAAAACTAAAGACAGACAGACAGATAAGAGAACAAAAGATGACCAAGAAAAATACCAACTTAATGGGAGGAAGAAGTTCTGAAATATCAATAATAATGTTAAATGTTAATGGAAAGGTCAGACCACAGTAACACTGCAAATTCAACAAAAGAGAGATTACATGAGACTGAACTGGTAAAATAGAATTCTATGACTTTTTTTCTAAAACATTACTGATTTCCTTCTATGCTTTGTCTTCCAGATTTAAGCATTTTGTTTTCTTTTGAGTTGTTGATAGGTTCAGCAATTTGTTAAAAAAAGAATTTTTTTTAATTGAAGCAAACGTTTCTCCCTGACTCCTTTGCAATAGGAAAATATTTGTGAACGTTCTTATTTTGTGTTTATTTGTATAAGTTCAATAATATAATGGTATCCATTGCCTTGCATCAGAAATTGAATTCTTCTGGGGCTTTATGCAAATAACTGATAAAATTAAGATTAACCTATTTTTTAAATAAGTTAGTTTATATCTCTCTTAAGTAAAGAGAAATGGAGAGAGAAAAAAAAAAGTTTCAGAAGAAAATTACAGTGCACTTGTCACTAGATTCTAGCTTTGTCTGTATTTTTAATGTAAGATCTATTGTGAATCAATAAAATGTGAAAAAAAAGTTTAGTATGAAAGGGACGGAGGGGAAAGGGGAAAGAAAAAAAATGGTAAAAGTATGCTTAATTGACAAAACATGAGGAGATATTTATTGAGGATAATGTATATAGTAATATCTGTCTTGACTGACATGCATGGTATTTGTTTTGGAAGAAGAAATGTATACTGTAAACACATGTAATTAAATGTAAATAAATTTTAAAAAATTAAATTCCATAAACTCACGAAAGAAAAGAATAGATTTCATTATACGTAATCATATTGTGTTCAGTATCTATAGCCTATAGTTAAGAATACAGTGATATATTATGAGAAAACATCTAATATATATATATATGTGTATATATATATACACATATATATACACATACACACGTGTGTGTGTGTGCACGCGCACGTGTGTGTGCGTTTGTGTGTGTGTATAAAAGAAAGATTGGATTCTCTTCTCTTAGTGTCATTTTATGCTCAGCTTACTGCTGCTCCATTGGCATGCATCTGAGCATTTTCAAGGCCATTAAAAATATGTTATTTGGGATGAACTAAAATGCTCAGAAAGTTTGAGAAGTGATTTGCTGTCAACAACTCTCATCTACAAGCTGAAGACTTCTTAATGTATATAAAATGAAAGAGGAAATTTGAGCAGTTAAAATTGATAGAATTACATTCATACTTTAAATAAAGTTTGTGGATGAATGAAAAAAGAAATTTTAAAAAATCTCTTAAATACATTTAACTCCATCTCCTAGCCCAAGTTAACTTCATAGATTCTCCGTTACAAGCCCCACTTTACACTGCCAATGTAAACATAAATTTAAATATCATGGACTCTGCTTCAACTATTTCCATAGCTCTCCATTGTTCTTAAGAAAAAGACCAAACTTCCAGTGGAGGATACAGGACTTGCAAGATCTGGTACTGTTTATATTCAGTCTCATAGAATACCCCCATTTTCCCTTTGTTTGAACTAAACAACATGAGTCTATGTTCAATTTCTTGAGTAAAATGTAATTCTGCCATAAGAATTTAAACATTGTCACTCCAACATTAAAACATCAGATTCACTTAGGGAGTTTAAAATAAATCCCAACACCAAAGGCATAACAACGCTTTCAATCAAATCAGAATTTCTTTTCTTTTCTTTTTTTTTTGGAGAGGTTTTTGCTATAGGGCATGTGCGCTTGTCAGAAAGACAGAGAGAGACAGAGAGACAGAAAGTGAGAAATCACCCCCGAGGGGGGGATGGTCATGCTGCAATCCCCTCTCCTCCATTCTCCTCTCAAGATCTTGGGCACACATGCACACGCGCCTGGCGTGAGTTTTAAGCCACCGGGTCTGGGACTCGAACTGCGGTCGACTACGTGGGAGTCCAGCGACATAGCCATTATGCTAACTGCTGGTTCCCAAGAGGTCTTATTTTTATGAAACAGTAAATTAAATCTCAGCTGCATAGAAGAATTTTGTGGCAAGCAGATTTTATCACAAGGTGAGGGCTAAATCAGTTAATCTCATGAAATGCTGTCTAGCTTGGTAATTCGAAAATTGTGTAATATGATTGTAGTCACATCAAGAGTGATTCTGGTGATGAACAAGAGAGGTTTTCTCATTCAAATTTTCCCATTCAAATTTTCCAAAAACACTTGCACTATAGGTAGTACAATCCACAACTACAATCCATTTATAGCAACACGACACTTTTGTCTCGGTCACTGTGTAAGGCTTCCTTTCCAGCTTCTG